TGTCTGTCTGTCTGTCTGTCTGTCTGTCTGTCTGTCTGTCTGTCTGTCTGTCTGTCTGTCTGTCTGTCTGTCTGTCTGTCGAGACGCGCCCTGTCATGTTGTACCTCCACGGGAACTGTAGTGATCCGAATCCCGTGCAGGAGAGAACTGCACTCGCTACATTAGTCAGAATGCAATATACATTTCAGACGTGCCCATATATTGTGGATACCTTAACATTATGCTGTTATTTAACAATTAAATAAGAACTTTTCAGTGACCCTTTTTAACAAGGTGATTAATGCAATGCCAATGACAGACACTAGATGTTGCCATAAACTTCATAGAGTAACGTTGTACTCTGACACACACTCACACCAGTGCCCGTATGACTCCAGGTCTGATATAGAACCTAGGATCCCATTGCTATGAGATACAGTATTAATACTATCCACTGTGCTACTCATTTATGTTCTTAATCTTACAGAAGACCTATACCTCAAGCAGGAAAAAATGAAGTTATCATATTGTACATATTTTGTGGATTCTAAAAAAATCGAAATCAAAGGGGTTTTTGAATTTAAATTCCAAAGAGCCCTGAGTGTGGAAAAGCCCATCAGAGGACCTAGAATGTTACAACAGGTACTGAATTGATCCTTAATTGTTTAATAAACCCCCATGTGCTGCAGATTGTTTCATTAATTTAGGATTAGCTGGAGCACAGATTTACAGTGCAATGGTCTGGAATCCAGGTGCTGAGTTTGACTGCTCTTTTATTGTAGGCTTCCACTTACAATTAAATTAATTCAAAATGAAAATTAAAAGTGAAAAATTGTTCACATTATTTTCCACATTTTTGCTATAAACAGCTGTGTATTTACGTTTCCTAATTTGAAATCATTGTAGAGACACTACATATTTGTACTTTCACTACTTTCATTAACTGTAGGTGCCGCTTTTACATGAGCTAAGTTCTGTGCACACAAGTGTTCATTATCCGTATTCAGTATCATTATGCTAAATGACTACAGTACATTAGCCGCATAAAAAAATGTGAAGTGAAACTCCCCAGATTTAAACAGAAAAGGGGAACACAGAAATTGAACAGCACACTGCTTGCCGAGACGGCGCTCAGTTACCACAAAGACAGTGAGAAATGGGGTTGCAGGACAGGCTGAACCAAATCAGAAACAGGGAGACAGAGACCAACCACAACACACACAAGAGGAAAGGACAATGCACCATATTGCCTCATCAACCTTATGCACCAGTTCATTAATTAGCCCCCACTCATTACGTCTACCTATTCCTCACTAGAAGCCCTTCACCCCTTATTCCAGTCCAGGAGCTGTGAGGACAGAGATGTAGAAGCCTGCTCCAGGGGGGCTGCTGGAGGACTGGAGACAGAGGGACTTGACAGGGTGCCGCAGAGGAAAGCTCAGGCATCTTCTACACCCCTACCCTGTGTTTGTTACATTTGGAGAGACAGCGTAGGAGGAAGGATAATGGATCATACTGTTTGGGACTGGAGTCTGGAGAGAACGCAGTGCAGAGTTCCAGCTCTGTGTTTGATACAGAGGAGGTACACAAGAGTACATAGACACAGCTGATTGAGGAGAGTGGTGCTGCTGGAATATTTTTTTTGGGACCATGGTGTTTATTAGCCTTTGTGTGTGTGTGTGTGTGTGTGTGTGTGTGTGTGTGTGTGTGTGTGTGTGTGTGTGTGTGT